CTACACGAGATGGATTGATACCGTGCCTGCCACAAAGGGCTCACACATAAAAACAACCATGACGATGGTGCAGGACCAGGCAGTGTTTCATTCTGTCGGACATAGGGTTGCTGAGTCAGAACCGCTTCGATGGCACCTGGCACCACCACCACCACTTTATTTCTGTTGTGCCTAACAGGTGCCAGGAGTTGGAACTGAATGACTGGCACCTAACCAATTTGGAACGCTACTGTCCTCGGGCAGTTTATAGAATCATGGTCAAGATCTCTCTGAGTCAGAATCAGTCCACAACAGGAAGTCGGCAAACTGGGAGCCAGAGGCCAAGTCTTGTGTTTGGACAAGTTTTATTCAAACACAGCCATGTTCACTCATGTGCGTATTATCGAAGGCTTCCCTAGCACTAAAGAAAGAGTTGGCCTACTGCTAGAACCCTGTTCACTCAAACCAACTCACACACTGCCATCCATCCTTTCCAACTCCCGGCGACCCCGAAGCAAACTCACAGTCCATTCCGACTCAGAACAGAACTGCTTCCAAGGGTTCCTGAGGGTGCACATCTGCACTGGCCAGAAAGCCTCACCTTTTTCTGACGGGTGGGTTTGAACCGCTGACCTTGGGGTTAGCTGCTCAACTCTGCTACCACGGCTGAGCTAAAATCTAATCAAGCTTCTAAGAATATAACCCACTATGCCATCATGGCAAAAATTTAATCAAGCTTTGAAGAACAAGCCATTTAACTCAGCCTAACTGCAAATATATTTGTGAATGAGTAGAGGCTTCCAATGGAAAACTGGGTTTTAGCTCTGGGTTGGAGGGTGACAGAGGAACCTGATAGCCCTCACCCACTTCTGAGACTGAAAATGCCCTGCGCCAGTTCTCCTCGAGTACAGGGGGAGGGAGCTGCAACACTGCTGTTCCTTTCAATGCTTTGCAGGCAACCAGAAATCTGAAACCATCCCCGAAAAACTCACACCCTCACTGCCTACTCAAAGTGACCCTGTGGGACAGAGTAGAAGTGCCTTCTTGCGTTTCTGAGACTGCAACTCTTTATGGGAGTAGAAAGCCCTTTCTCCTGAGGAGCTGGCTGGTGATTTCTACTGAAAACCCTCTGTAAAAACCGTGAGAAGCTGATCCCAAAAAACATATTTCCAGACAGTTCGTAAATTTTCAAAAGATTAGATTTAATTTATCCGCTTAAACAAGTAAACCTATTGGAACATTATTAATTATTCTACTAGCCCCTTTTCTACTCTGAATTGTTCCTAGGTCTTATACTATAGTTTTCCAACTGTAACATTTCCATATATATTTTTCCCCCCCCCCCAACTCGGGTTGTTATGGTAACTGGAGAAATGGCAAATTTTGAGACTGTTCCCTTTCGCCTCAAACTTTTAGAATACCGGGCTGTGGGCAAGCAGTGACAAGATTGAGTCTGGCCGGGCTGCAGCCCTGGAAGGTGTTCTGTTTCCTGGGACCCTCGGGTCTGGTCAGACTTCGCATAAACCTCCCCTGAGTTTTGGTTGGCAGCGCTCATCACTGCAGCCCCCTCCCCAGGCTTTGATGCCAGTACACGCTCAACCCACAGACACGGGAGGCTTCCTCAGTAAACGTCACAGGAAGGACAAGGGGGCAGCAGACAAAGCAGCCGTTGCGGGGTTGGGAGTTAGTTTTTCATGAGTAAATTCATTCACCTAAATCGCTCCCAGAAATAAGCTCAGTACTTAAGCGGCAACATCACAGCTCCAAAAAGAAGTCTGAAAAATCAAAACCTGGTCCCTAGCCTTCAGAAGAGGAATAAGCGGTTTAAGGAGCTAATGTGAGACCGTTAAATAAAGATGCAACAGAGCCCAGCAAGGAAAGGTGTGCCTGGACCAGAACGTCAGATGTAGCTTTGACAGTGGAGCACGTGCAAAGGCCCGCACACTCAATATGCCGATGACACCTGTGTGAAGGAACTGTGACAGGAGGGAGGGCTGGGATTCTGAGGTGGAAAGAGCCAGGGCCTGCAGGCCAACGGCTGTGGCCTCTGGTCCCACCACCCCTTGGTGAGCATACAACCCATCCATTCCCCCTGGGCTTCCCTGCATCATCCTGTGGAAAGCAAGGCTATGGGATGGAATGACCAAAAGCTCTGGGTCCCAAACGCCAGTCCAGTCCATGGTGACAGAGAGCAGGAACAGTTTTTCACAAATCTGCATCTATTCCATGCAAAGGACTGCCTGCACCTTGGAAAGAGAGCCTTTGTGCTTTGCTGGATATTAAAATGTCATTTCTTTTATGAAATAGTGGGGGAACGGGATGGATTTTTTTTTCTTTAATGGCCTTCCTTGGCGGAGTGAAACTTGGGTAGTACCATACCCTGTGTGGAATCATCTTCCTGGATTAAAAGGTGGGCTGCCTGTGAAGGGGCAGGACAGACGGGCTGCAGCAGGTTGTCCGCGTGCACAGCAAGGCTTCCCAAGTGCAGACACCCAGCCTCAGGTGCTTTTGCCTCCTGCCAGGAGTTCTTCTCTACAACCAAGGTGGGACCTCTTTGCTCCCTTGTTTGGGCTTCATATTCCAATCCCAACCTCTCTGTGCCCGTCCTGCAATGCAGGCTACACTCTTGCCCCCTCAGCTTTTCCCCACTTCCGCACCCAAACCAGTTGTCTAGTCAAGTTCCGCTCATGGTGGCTCCCTGTGCTTTTGAAAGTAGATCGCAAAAAAACAAACCAAACACTGCCATCAAGGGAAGGCCAGCTCACAACCACCCTATGGGACAGGGTAGAACTGCCCCTGTGGGTTTCTGAGATTGTTACTCTTTACTGGAGTAGAAAAAGCCAGTCTTCCCTACACAAAGCAGCTAGTGGTTTCAAACTGGTAGCAGCTGAATGCGTAAGCACGATGCCACCAGGGCTCCCCTTGAAAGCAGAGAGCTTTTCTTCCAAGACACTTCTGAGGGGCTTGCACTGACAACCTTCCGAGTAGCAACTGAGTACTTGATCATCTGCCCCATTCAGAGACTCCGCATCATCTTTTTCCTTGAAGACCCTCACACCTCGTCTTCGCTTCCGCTGCTGTCTCTGCCTGGCTGCTCAAGCCTCCAAATGCCTGGCCAGCTTCCCTTCATTTCTTGGTGTTCAATCACCTTTGACTCTGAAATTCCCCAGTCTGCCCTGCTCCTTCCGAAGAATTCATGGCTCCTGCTTTATGTGGCTTGTGATGCTTTGCCTGGATCTCCACCATTGCTTTTCTTCTTTTTTTAAATTTTGGTGAAATATATATAGAGCAGAAGACTCCCTCTCAACCATTTCTGTATGTACAGCCACACTGGTTCCACTCCCCACAATCGAGTTGCCATTTTCGCTGTCTACTTGCCTGGTCTCACCACCACGGGCTGAGCCTCTCCCCACCCCTAAACTTCTCACCTGGGCTTTGGACTTGACTGTTGACCGTTCATTCTCCTATGGTGCTCCTCAGGAGGAGAGAAAAGCTCACACCAGACACACTTAACTCATTCAGCTCAACCCTTGTTGAATTCAGAGATGACTTCCGGGGCAATAGCAATTCTTGCTCAAACGCTTTCTCAGATTGATAGTTTCAGGGGCTCCCCTCGTCTTCTGGATACCAGTGAAGTCTGGATTCTACAAAAATTTGAAATTCTGTTCCGTATTTTATCCGTTGCTCAGGATTGATTCACAGGTTCCTTGATCAGAGCCTTCAGGGCACCATTCTGGTTTCATGGCGAAGGGGCAGTAGTTCACGGTGGCCTTCAGACTTTGCAGTTTAGCTCCTTCTCCATTTCCTGGGCTTACCACATCCACTGCTCCAACAAACTGGGGATCTGGTGTTGCCTCTTGGATGGCCACTAGCACTAGCTTTTAGGATGCCAAAGACTACTCACTGAACTTGGGAGTGGAACAATAATCCAAAAATACAGTCTTTGCCAACTGACTGGACAATCCCACGAAGCCATGCCCTGTCTATACCTTCAAAATAACAGAACTCAGCTCGTGATGTTGAAATATATTTTAGTAACAACACCCCCCCACAGACACACAAACACCATTTCTTTTTGGTGGTTGCTATTAGTGTACAAGTACTACCACATTTATAAGAAGCACTTCCTTTCTTTCCTTTAAGGCTGAGACCAACTAATACCTGCCTGGTCTCCGGCTCTCAAATATTTGCTGAACTGAAATACTGTATGTTTGTTATTGATTGAAGAGGAGCCGTTTTTGATAAGAGCTCCGTTTTGAAAACCAATCGCTACGCCTATGGTCTGAATCCTTAAGTTTCTTTAAGGCCCCCTCCTACCCTCAAATTCCTTCTAGACTGGCTCACTTGTGCCTCCAATGTCAGTAGTCAGTTTTCATTCCTGTGCTTAAAGCCTCCAATGTTAGAAGTTGATCAGATTTGTCCTGAGCTGGGGTTTTGATGGGCCGGAGAAGGGGGGACAGAGAAAAGCAAGGGGTGGCTTGGAAATGGGGCGGAAAGAACTCTCTGAAGAGAAACCTGTCTCCTCAGTTACTTCAGGTTGGTGGGGGTCTTGGGGTCCAAAATGGAGTTCAATATTTCAAAAGCCATGGATTGGAGGTACTTTGGATGGGGATTTCTGTAAGCTCACTGGGGATCAGTACACCCCCAAATACCTAACCTGTCGCCCTGTGTTACAGTGAAGGGCTCCCTCTGGGTGGATCTGAACTGCCAACCTTTATTTAAGTCAGGAAACCCACTCAAACATAGGGCCATCTAGTGGACTGTGACACTGTAGGGTGTCCGGAACTGTAACTGTAGGGAGCAAACAACCTCATCTATCTCCCAGGGATGGGCTGGTGGGTGTGAACGACCAACCTTGCAGCTCAATGGCTGACCCACCGAGATTCAGCGAAAATCGTTTGGCTCACACTGGGCCCGTTGGGCTCACCTGGGAGGGCAGCGCCCTCGTTGCCCCTAAGGAGATGTCCTCTTATTCTAGGAGAAGCTGGAGCTCCTGAGAGGAGATGGCTGGAAATACTCACCAGATCCCGGGAGGAAGCGGGGATGAGCGGGTGGTTGGAAAGATGGGCTTGGGAGGGAGGACCTGAGGGGTGGAGGATAACCTGTGACTGTGGTGGTACCAGGTGGTAGGGTATTAGTTGGGCTGGGAAGGGCCCGGTAGGGCATGGGCCTGCGCAGGGTGGGGTGGGGTGGGGTGGGGTGGGGGTGGGGTGGAGGGTGGCGAGCTTGGGTGGGAGGTCCAGGCCCCAGCTCAGAGTCCTCAGCTGGAGGGGGCAGGCACTCCCATATAGAGGATCCGCTCCATCCGGGCCTGGGCGGAGGGCACTCTGCAGCCTGTCCCTGCCTTGGCCCCGGTCCCCGAGGAAACTTTTTCCGACTAGCTTGGCGCCGAGACGGGATACGTTTGCAGGCAGGCTCCGCGGCGGCCCCGGTGCGGACTTGCGCGGGCCGAGGGGGCAGACCCGGAGCGCGGGCGTGTGGGTGTGTGCATGAGCGTGGACCCGGAGCGACACACACTCACACACACACACTCACACGCCCGCACCCACGCAGGGCCCTCGGCCGCGCCTCTCCGGACCTTCACCCCAAGCCGGGTCCTCCCGGGCCCCCGCCGAGGGCTTCTCCCGGTTCTCACGACCGACGCGGGCCGGCTTAGCGGGCCCGGGACAAGGGGCGACGCGGGGGTCTGGCCCCCCTCACCCCACCACCCGCCCGGGGGAGAGAACGGGGAGAGGGGGCCGGGGCTCTTACCACTCTGGCCGCGCGGGAGCGCCCTG